GGCCCGGGGTGAAGGGCGGGGCCTGAGGTCTCCTGCCCCGGCCTTGCACCACACAGCCTCAGGTCCTTGCTGATCACTCTTTATGGGAACCCCACCTCCGCTGTGGGTGCAGCCATCATGTGATGGTGTGAGGGTTAATTTGCATATTACCTATTTATTATATAGGATTTTTTAATTAAATATATTTTTATTGATTTCAGAGAGGAAGGAAGAGGGAGAGAGAGATAGAAACATCCATGATGAGAGAAAATCATGGATCGGCTGCCTCCCTGCAAGTCCCCACTGGGGATCGAGCCCACAACTCGGGCATGTGTCCTTGACTGTAATTGAACCCAGGACCTTTCAGTTTGCAGGCCGACGCTCTATCCACTGAACAAAACCAGCCAGGGCTCATCACAACCTTTATAACAGGAATGTGGACATCAAGGCCTGGAGAGGTTGCCTGCCCTGCTGCCAGCAAGTGGAGGAGGCAGGATGCAACCCTGGTTCTTTCTAGCTTCAACATCCAAGCTCTAATCACTAAGCAGTATTACCCATCTCCTTGATTTGAGTTCACTCTTGGGCATTTTCTGGCACCCATTATGGAGCAAATGAAGTGTTTATTCTCCTAGAGTCCTAAGCTACATCCTTTCAATCCCCACTCACCTATTCCCCACCTTTCTGTGTGACCTTTCCCTAAGTTTGTGTCTAGTGTAAGCCTTTTACTAGTTCTGGGAGGTGAGTGTAAAAATACCTCTTGGGTAGGTTTACCTGTAGTTACAGAGAGGGCAAGTTCATGGCCTGATACTTAGACTTGAACTTACACAGTGCCTTTAAGTAGCTGCCATTCGGGGAGCATTGGCTGTTTTGCTGATTTTGGTTCTCACTGCAGTAGGCCAGGGTAGATGTTACTGTATCATTTTACAGTGGAGGAAATGGAAACAAGTTCTTGGAGTCACTGGTGCCGGACCCCAGTAAGCCTGTGGAAATACGGGTTCTCAGGTTCCCAAATATGTAGGCCAATTGGATTAGAACTGACTTTCAGACTCCAAGCCTCTTGCTTTTTTCCAGCGTGTCACTATGTGTGACCTTTATAATCATGTTGCATTTCTGGGCTCCATTCTCTCCATCTCTTCTAAGAGGTGTTCAGGATAAGGTGAGGGTTGAAGACATGGGTGGCCAACAGCCTGGATCCCAGCTCTGTCGCTCCCCAGGTATGTGATGTTGGGCAAGTGCCATCATTATTTTGAGCCTCACTTTCCTGTCTTTGAAGTGAGGATAAAAACAATACAAGCCTTTTGATATTATTATAAGATTAAGTGAGTTAATGTATGTAGGTAGAGTGCTTAGAACCATTATCTGACATATGATAAGCTTTTTCTATATGTATTAGCTACTATCATTATGAGCTATTATTATTTACTCTTTAAACATTTAATAAGCCATTACCATGTGCCAAACACCGTGCTAAGTAATGGGCTGGATCCTGGTGCCCTTTTAGCTCTGACTTTGAGTGATGGGTGTAAACAACCAGACCCTCCTTCCCCAGGGGAAGAAGCATTGTAGGGTTAGCTTCAGGGGACTCTCTGACTCTGCTTACAGATCGTTATGTGTGAAATGAAAAATGTATTTAGCTTTCACTTTCTTTTACCCATCTTGTTCACGTAGGTGGATTGTATTTTACTACCTAATTAAGAGTAATGGAAATAAAATGGAAGGAAGCACATTTGTAGCTTATGTGTGGGTTGAAATTTCCCGAGATGGGAAACAAACTCATAAACAGGAAAGACAATAGCACTGTTGAAATGAGAAAATCCATGGATAGCAGAAATGCAGGCATGCCATTTTGCTATTTGGGGTTGGGGGAAGGAAGGCATGAACACATTTGCACATATTTGCACATAGTGTCCTTGGAGAAAATTGTTCTTTCAAAGAGCAAGACACATTTGGAGATGAAAATTATATTCAGACTGCCATATTAACATATCCCTATCTTTCCGTACATCTTTCCAGTGCTGCGAGTATCAGAGTTAAAGTCCCTGACCTCATGCAAACCTGATCCAGGGGGATAAACTGGAGGGGCTTAGACTGTTTCCTCTCTTTTGGAACTAGCATGGCAGCACTAGTTTCACTTTGCCTACAGTTTACAGGATTTAGCCAGGCATGCTGGGAGGGTCCTGGACTTTAGGGTCAGATTATTGACTCCTGCCCTTTTAATGATAAACTCCTGGCCAACCTTGAGCAAAATACTGCATCTTTCTGAGGATCTTTCCTTCCTGGTAGCCTGGGAAAGTAATTGTAGTTGCCCTGCCTACCCAGAGCCTGATGCGGTGGGGTGGAAAGTACATGGGCTTTGCAGAAAAAGAGACCCAATGGGACTCATGGTCCTTTTCCTTTATTGAACTGCCCAGAACCAGTTTCCTTGTCTATAAAATAAAGCCGAGCTGTTGTGTGGGGCTTAATGGTATAGCATGTATTTGGTTCCAATATAGTAGCCCTCTTTAATTAAAATATTGGTTCCCTTTAGACCTGTTTTGTATGTGAAATACAGAACATGTAAAAGAGTCTATGACCACATATGTAGATAATTAATGAACAATAATAAAATTAAAATAGAAACCCAACTACCCACTCCTCAGGCCATGAAGTAGGATGTGATGAGTCTCTGGAAGCTTCCTAAGGGTTCCTCCTTGATAGCATCCCCTCCCTCTTCCCCAGGTACCTTCTAGCCTGAATTTCATGCTGCTTATTTCCTTGACGTCTTTCCATAGCTATCCCTAAACCATTTATTATTTCATTCTATCCTGCCTTCTTTTGAACTTTATAATTATATTGTAAAATAGTCATATGTCTTTGCTTTGCATTATATTTCCTAGATTTCTTGACATTTTTGCCCGTAGGTACAGCTCATCAGTTTTCGCTGTTGTGTAGTATTATGTTCTAAGACTGTCCCTTTATTGATCTCATCGAGTAAGGGAGACATTCAGCTAGTTTCTACTATTTTGCTGTTATGAAATGTGTTGCTATAAATATACTTCTATCCCTTTAATTCTTAAGCTGAAACAGTTTTTAGAGACCGTTTGGTCTGATACCTGGCCTCTGCCTAGTTGGTTTCCTTATCTAAGGTAGCTGAGGCCTAAGAGATCAAGGTCGTTCCCAAGGCTTCTCAGCTAATAAATGGCAGGTGTGGCCAGTAAGCCAGGTCTCCTGTCCCCATTGGGCCCAGCGCTGTGACTAGACCATGTCCGATAGTTGGCCTTTTTATTTTTTATTTTATTTATTTATTTATTTATTTAGATTTTTAAAATATATTTTATTGATTTTTTACAGAGAGGAAGGGAGAGGGATAGAGAGTTAGAAAAATTGATGAGAGAGAAACATCAATTCGGTCTGCGGACTGAAGGGTCCCAGGTTCAATTCTGGTCAATGGCCTTTTTATTTTGAACAGAACAGTTCCCCATGCTATGGATATTACAAGTTGGGAATTTTTATTTGGACTAGCTCTTCACTACTCTCCTAGGAATGTGCTTGACATTTGCGGTGGAATTGACTTGCTCCCCATCCAAAGTTGGGGCAGTGCTGGCTTCTCTTGGGTCCTGTCTGTTAATGCTGGCCCTGGGCACACTCCATGGCTATGAGCCTGTGGACAAGCTTCTACCGCTTCCGCACTGAGAGCCTCTGAGACATGTTTCAGAGTGAAGGAGTCAACAAAGTGGCCTGGGTTGGGGGGGACTGCTGAGGAAAGAGGATACGAATCCTTACCAGGCACTTTCTTAGGAAATGTCCCTTTACTATAAATAGGAATGGATATTCAATTTTAGACCTACTTAAAACAAAACTCTCTGAGACTGAAATTAGATTTGAGGCTGACGGAATGAATGTCGGAGGGGGCGTTCTGCGCCATGCTGAGGAGCGTCTGAAAGTCTTGAGCAGCTGGTGCGATGGAACAGCTGAGCCACAAACAAATATCAGCTGATTTGAGCACTTCTTATTTCTAGATGCCCTGGTTTGTGAGCTCCAGCACTTGGCCCACTTGTACGTTCTCTTCCTGAGGCCCCTCAGCGTTTCATCTCGCTCTGCCAATGGTGAGCCACGCAACCTTGGGCAAGTTATTCCTCTTTCTGGGCCCTGCATGTTGACATGGGAATAATAGCTGCTGTTTATTCAGAGCTTCTAATGTGTGGGCACTGTGTCAAGCAGTTTCCATGGATCACCTCTTTTAGTTTTCACGGCACCATGAAATAAGAACTATGATTACCCCCATTTTACAACAAGGAAACTGAACACAGAAAATTGAGGTGCAGTTGGTCCATGAATCCCCATTAAATAGGGGATTTGGAGACTTGTTCTGAGAAAGATCTCTTGGGGCCTCTGTCATTCATACTTTGAATTGGGAACTATTGTATTTTAGAGGTACCACCCCCCAAACCCTCTCTCACCACTGGCCATCATGTCATCTATCAGCTGTGGAACCACAGAGGAGAATGTGGCAAAGACACTGAATTCTTGATGTGCATTTTTTTTGGAGAGCATATCTGAGGTTTCTGTCACTCTCAAAAGGATCTGTCACCCCCAAAAGTTTAAGAACCCCTTAATGACTTTGATGTTAAAGTGGAGGAAGACAACAAAGCAGCCGACCTTTTCAAGACAGGGAAGTATATCTATTTTGCTTATGAATGGATACACTTTTAAAGGCTTATATTAATTGCTTTTTTAATGATCAGATATTTTGGAGTTGTAAAATTACAATGAAATTCTTTGTAAGGAATTTGCAACATATGAAACAAAAAATGGTAACCTATCTAGTGAGTTATACTGTACTTAGTCCAAATATTTCACCACTGTGTCTTTTCAAAGGAATTGAAAACAATTTTTCTTATTAATTATTCAAATATGGTGACAGAAGCTCTAACAGTATAAAGGATTGTGTATGTGTGCATATTTTGGGCAGGTCATCAGTTTATAGTTAAACATAAAAATGTGGTGTTTTATACTTGGTGGCACTGAGAAGCTATGGGAGTAATCTCAGTAAATTATAGCAGGTATTATTATTGAATAGTAATAATAATCCTAACAATGTTTTACATTTATTGAGCACATATTATGTTAGACTCTCTTTGAAGGACACTACATGGATTAACTAATATGATCATCACAACTGCTGTTTGAAGTAGATACAGACCTAGACCTACCTATCCCTTTTACAGAAAAGAAAATTTAGGTACAAAGAGCTTAAGGACTTGCCCAAGGTAAATTTGAGAGCCAAGGTAGAATATGACCAATTAATTCTAATGGCAGGTATCTCATATGGAACAAATGAATATATTCATGTTTTGACATGACCTTCATTATAATTATTTAGCTCTGAGACTTTTATTTCTTCCTGGAAGGTCCAAGGTGAAGGAATCAGACATTAATTTAATGCCTAATATGGAACAAGTGTCTTTACATATGTTATTGGTTCTTCAATACTATCCCATGCATGCATTTATCACAGTACTTTTCTGATTGCTGTATCATTAGCTGTTTGACTTTCTGTTAGCCTATGATCTATTCATTCATCTATGTGTTGGCGAACCTTTGCTGTAATAAGAAGCCACCCTCACGTTTCAGTAGTTATCCAGGTCCCGTAGTTCTGCTCCGCTCTGTTCCAAGATCTTCTCATTCCAGGAACCTAGTCTCTGAGAATAGTCCCATCTGGACCAGGTGGTCTTCATGACAAAGGGCAGAAATACAAATGTCTGAACTGAACAACCTGAGTGCATTTCAAGTTCTGCTCGGTGGTGGTGCACATTATGTCCACTCATATCCCACTTGCCAAAGCTAGCCACTTGGCCAAACCTGACCGTGGGGTAGGGGATATTCTCCATCTACCTTGAAGGGCTGGCAGTCACATGGCAAAAACTATGGATGGTAAACCTCTCAGTGGGAAGTTCAGAGATAGTTGGGAGCCAGAATATAGTATACTACCATCTGAGCGTTCCTAAAACTCCATTTTTATGCAAGAGAAAACTGAAACGTGGAGATGTTACATACATACAGATTACATATTTATATAATTTGAGCTCATTTTTCTGATTCCATGTCCTTGCTCTTTTTCCATCTGCTTTCCCACTTCATTTTTTTCTTCCCAGAAACATAAACTGTGTTCTTGGGACACACTGGATTTTATGTAATTTACCAAAGTGATTCATCTATTTGTGACTTAGCATATGATCTTGTATCTGCGATTGCATTTTCCTCTTTCTATGCTGCTACACACTCGTTCCCCCCACCACCACCCCGAAAACTCAGGCCTTCTGAAAGCATATTTTTTCCTCCTAGACAGGCAGGGAGCCCTCCCTCACTGCTCCCTGGGGTCCTCTGTTGCCTCATAGTGCTTTATCCCTCTGCATTTTAGTTGTGTATGGACTTTGCTCTTCCCCTAACTAGGCTCAGGGTTTCTGGAAGGCAGAGGGAGAGGGGCTGCTTTTTACCCAGGGTTCCTTACAGTGGTGCAGAGAAAGGACCCTTAATGTGCATTGAAATAAGGATTAAATGAAGTTTTCCTACAGAAGAATGACACTTGTCATTGTAGGCCAGTAATCTTGCCTTCCATGTACATGTCAGGTCCGCTGGATTGAAATCATTCCAGGACAAAGGACCTGGGACATCCGTTCACTATCATGACTTACACGTGTGCTGTCTGCAGATTGTTCTTCCTTTGAAAACTCGGCAAATTTCACACAATGTGTTTCCAAAGTGATTGTTATCCCTCCATTTTCTAGTGTAAAATAGGCTTCAATTATTCTCTTTAATTAAGTGGTTTTATTTTATTAATTGTTTCTAACTTACAGAATTCCCCAGAGACCCTTTACATGTTTCCAAATGAAGCCAGGAAGAAAAGTGCATTAATTATACACACAAATTCCTTTTGGTGAATTAAGCATGATGCACAGTGAACACGAAATGACTCGCCCTCTGAGCTATCAATCTTGTCATTAGTGATGGTTTGTATTAGTAGTATTGACATGGGCTTATCCAAATTGTATTCTTCAAAGAGTCACTTTAATTTTGCAAAAATGTAAGAAGACAAAGTAGTTTGACATGCTTTTCCTTAAACATTCAATTTGTTGGGGTGACATTGGTTTACAAAACCATACAGGTTTCAAGTGTACAACTTAAAACATCATCTAAGCACTGCAATGTGTGCCTGTCCCCCAAAGCAAAGTGTCTTTCTGTCCCCATGTATCCCCCCTTTGCCCACCTCACTTATCCCCACCCACGTTCCCTCTGGCTACAACCACACTGTTGTCTGTGTCTATGTTGTGTTATATTATTTTGTTTTTTGCTTAATCCCTTCACCTTCTTTCACCCAGTCCCACAACCCCCCTTCCCTCTGACAGCTGTCTGTCTGTTCCATGTATCCATGCCTCTGTTTCTATTTTGTTTGTCAGTTTATTTTGTTCATTAGATTCCACATATAAGTGAGATCATATAGTATCTATTTTCTCTGACTGGCTCATTTAACTTAGCATAACAATATCTAGGTCCATCCATACTGTCGCAAATGTTAAGATTTCCTTCTTTTTTATGGCCATGTAATACCCCAATGTGTAAATATACCATGGCTTTTTTATCTACTCATTTACTAATGAGCACTTGGGCTATTTCCAGATCTTGGCTATTGCAAATCATGATGTAGTGATCATAGGGGTACATATATTCTTTCCTAACAGTGTTTCAGGTTTCTTTGGATATAGGACATAGTCCCAATAGTGTGATTGCGGGGGCAAAAGGAAGTTTCATTTTTAATTTTTTGAGGAAACTCCACACTGTTTTCAACAATGGTTGCACCAGTCTGCATTCCCACCAACAGTGCACGAGGGTTCCCTTTTCTGCACATTTTTACCAGCACTTGTTGTTTGTTGATTTATTGATGAAAATCATTCATTCTGGCAAGTGTGAGGTGATATCTCATTGTGGTTTTAGTTTATATGTTTTTTTTAAACCCTCTATTTTGGTGAGTGTCTTGAGCTTTTCAATTTGTAATTCCAACTTAATATTTTATAGTGCTTTAGGATTTATAAAACACCAGTTGTTCCCGTAAGCCATAGGGCAACCCTAGATCACAAGTGAGTTTCACAGGTAAAGAAATTGTGACTCTGCAGCTAAAGGTTATGCCTCAAATCATATAAATGGAAAGGGCCAGAGAGAGCCTATTGAGGTATATATATATACACACACACACACACACACACACATATACACACACACTAGAGACCCGGTGCACAAAATTCGTGAACGAGGCTGGGAGGGGGGTCCCCTCAGCCCAGCATGCACCTGCTCCAATCCAGGACCCCTCAGGGGATGTCTGACTGCCGGTTTAGGCCCGATCCTGAGGATTGGGCCTAAACCGGCAGTCGGACATCCCTCTTACAATCCGGGACCACTGGCTCCTAACTGCTCACCTGCCTGCCTGCCTGATTGCCCCTACTGGCCCCCCTGCCAGCCTGATCACCCCTAACTGCCTCTGCCTGCCGACATGCTTTTCCTTAAACATTCAATTTGTTGGGGTGACATTGGTTTACAAAACCATACAGGTTTCAAGTGTACAACTTAAAACATCATCTAAGCACTGCAATGTGTGCCTGTCCCCCAAAGCAAAGTGTCTTTCTGTCCCCATGTATCCCCCCTTTGCCCACCTCACTTATCCCCACCCACGTTCCCTCTGGCTACAACCACACTGTTGTCTGTGTCTATGTGTTATATGTATATTTTGTTTTTTTGCTTAATCCCTTCACCTTCTTTCATCCAGTCTCACAACCCCCCTTCCCTCTGACAGCTGTCTGTCTGTTCCACGTATCCATGCCTCTGTTTCTATTTTGTTTGTCAGTTTATTTTGTTCATTAGATTCCACATATAAGTGAGATCATATAGTATCTATTTTCTCTGACTGGCTCATTTAACTTAGCATAACAATATCTAGGTCCATCCATACTGTCGCAAATGTTAAGATTTCCTTCTTTTTTATGGCCATGTAATATCCCAATGTGTAAATATACCATGGCTTTTTTATCTACTCATTTACTAATGAGCACTTGGG